CCGCGCGCCGCTGCCGCCCACTCTGGGTGGCGCCGACTCCCGCGCTCGGCCTCCCACGGTCCGCTCACGGTCTCCACCCGGCGTCCAGAAGGCGGCGTGACCCGGAGCCGGGCCCTGTTGCAGGAACTCCGGGCGCCGCTGGGCGGGTTTGGCAGGCCGAGATTGCCACGAAATTAATGGGAGCGCCTCTTAGTTGTCAAAGCAGCTCAGAAACCAGGACCTGACCTTTTACTCTCATTGAGCGGAATGATGTAAGATTATGTAGAAAATTTCATTCACTAATATCTTGACCCATCTTGAAATTCGCTTATGTGAACTCTGGCCATGGACTGAATCGAAAACCTTATATACCATAGTTTACTAAGTGGTCAAATAGAAGACCTTTCACCATTTCACCCCCAGAGTGGATTTAAAAAAAAAAATTTTTTTTTTTAGATATAATCAAGGACCATTTGCAAAATAACACTAATTGTTTATTTTGTTATTTGTAATTTTTATAAGGATTTTCTTCTATAAAAGACACCTTTACCTTGATAGAACATGCATTTTAGGCGCATATTTGAGAAGCTAATTCCATTACATACAATGGATGACTAGTTCATTACATACAATGGATGAAAATAGGCTCGGAACACTTACATTGGGGGCATGGCTTTAAGAAGATCTAAATCTTTAAGAGTAAGCAAAGAAAAAAAAAACAAAAAAAAATGGATGACTAGGATATTTAATTTCCTACAACTTCCCCTCAATTCGAGGGACTAGGATTGATATATTTAAAATCATAATACACATCTTATAAAGAAGATAACATGTATACATAGATCTATTATCTTTGTACTGCTTCTGTTTTAAGTTAATGAAGAACACTGTCCAATGGAGAAAAAAATCAATAGTTATGCCATAATGAAAATATAATTGATTAAAAATTACATTTTACCCTTACAAATACCAACATACTGACTCTTATTAGGCCAATATAGCAATCAAGGGACTAATTTAGTGCAATAAATAGCAGACTCTTATTATACCTAGTGGACACATTTCAATAATTTGATAACTTGGTCCACTATGACTTCTAAAAGCCCAAACAAATCTCTGTGGAATAGGAACATTATTCTAATAGGGACAGATTCTCAGAAAGATTGAGCAGTTCTTTAGAAAGAACTCACAATCTTGGTTGTAATGTTTATAAAAATGAGGTAACCCAGGTAGGTCCTTGATCCAGAGATGCACATGCCCAAAGGAAATGCCATGTGAGGACACAGGAAGAAGCCATTTGCAAGGCAGGAAGGACTTCCCAGAAGCCAACTCTACTGCACTGTGATCTTGCATTTCCAGCTTTCAGATGTGAAGAAAACCCTTTTCTCTTGTTCAGGCTCCCCAGTCCATGATCATCTGTTCAGGTAGCCAGAGGAACTAATAGCCAGCAGACAATTTGACCTTAATCAATGTAGTATCAACCATACAGATAATACCTGCCATTTGAAAGGTCTATAAATCACATTGATTTAGACTGAAGGTTTTTTGTTTGTTTGTTTTGTATTTTAACTTGTGTGTAATGTTAATGTCATGACTTGAAAGTTTAGGATGATATTCATTACCCCAACTACTGAGTTTTTTCTCCTAACCATGTAGTTATGAAATGACTTTAACATACTGAGTAAAAGGAAGTTAGGATGTTTACTGCTGACTTTTTAGAATTGAATTTCACCACTACAACTGACCTACTTTTTTTTTTTTTTAAAGATTTATTTATTTATGCTTACAGAACTAGGGTACAGGCCAGAGGTGTGGTGGGAAAGAGGATTCACCAAAGACAGAGTGGGGAGCAGACCAGGAAGATCAACGAAGTACACTGCTGAGGGGAGCAGCGGGTGGGTCAGGTGAGGTCTGCCTTACCATGTGGGTTGGCTCCCTGGCAGGGGATTGAACTCTCGCTGCAGCAGCTTTAGAGAGCTTTATAAAGTGGTGCTTTAACTCATTGGGCCTCCAGAGAGAACCCCCCTTACCTACATTTTAACTCTGTAATTTAACAACTTTTACGTTGGGTATGCCTTTTATTTAATTTTCTATTAACCTACATTTAATTTTGTGACCAACTAGCTTGAATTGCTTTTATTGATGTGATTGCTAATTGTTGGTTTACATTGTTCGTAGTTGAGTATAGGATCTATAAGGTGTAATCAGGTCTTGGTGCACTCACCACCAAAGCTCCTGAGACCCACCAGTCCATTGTGCTTCCTCTCCACTTTATCCCCAGCCCCCTCTGGTTTCCTCAGTTGTATAATCAGTGTAGTCTTTTTTTTTTTTTTTTTAGATTTATTTATTTGTGCATACAGAACTGGGGTAGAGGTCAGAGGTGCAGGGGCGGTGAGAGGATTCACAGAGACAGAGAGGAGAGCAGAACAGGCTGACTGATGAAGTACACTGCTGAGGGGAGCAGTGGGCAGTCAGGAGAGGCCTGCCATGCCATGTTGGTCATCTCCAGAATTGAACTCATGCTGAAGTGGCTTTAGCTTCTTAGTGCTGTGCTTTAACCCACTGCGGCACCAGGGGGAGCCCTAATCAATGTAGTTTTTAAGTTTCGCTTTATCTGACATTTTGTTTGGTTCTTTAATATTCTACCTATAAGACACCGTCTGTATTTGTCTTTCTCCTTCTGACTTATTCCTGCTTATCATAATTCTTTCCAAATCCATGTGTATTACTATAAGTGATATGAATTTGTCTTTTTTTTTTTAAAGATTTATTTATTTATACATACAGAACTGGGGTACAGGCCATAGGGGCAGGGATGGTGAGAGGATTCACCAGAGACAGAGTAGGGAGCAGAACAGGCCAACTGACAAGTTTACTGCTAAGGGGAGCAGTGGGTGGGTCAGAAGGGGTCTGCTGCGCTATGTGGGTCACCTCCGGGGCAGGGATTGAACTCATGCCTAAGAGCCTAAGAGGTTTAGGCTCTTAGTGCTGTGCTTTAACTTGCTGTACCACCAGGAGGGTCTGAGGTTGTCTTTTTGATCACTGAGTAATATTCCACGGTGTATACATACTGCATCTTCTTTATCTACTCTGTTTTGGGGCACTAAATTGTTGCTTTTGTAGTCTGGCTATTGTAAATAGTGCTGCTATGAATTGGGAGTGCAAATTTCCCTTTGAATTTTTATGTTTATGTTCTTTTCGGTAGATACCTAGGAATGGAATTTTGGGTCATATGGCATATCCATGTTTAATCTTTTGAGGAACTTCCATTTTGTTTTCTAGAGAGACTGGACAGGTCTAGGAGAGTTTCCTTTTTCTCCACATCCTCTCCAGCACTTGCTGTTTCTGATCTTTTTGAGATGGGCCATTTTCTCTGTGGTTTGGGATGCATTTCCTTGATCATAAGTGGTGATGAACCTTTTTCATGTACCTGTTGGACATCATCTGTATGTCCTCTTTGAGAAGTGATATTTAGCTCTTCTGCTCACTTTTTGATTGGATGATTTGTTTTCTTTCGTTGAGTTGTATCTTGACTCTTGTCAGAAGTGTTGTAGATCTTGACTCTTGTCAGAAGTGTGGTATGCAAATGTTTTCTCCCAGACAGGAGGGTATCTTTTCATCTTAGTTATGGCTTCATTCACTGTGCAGAAGCTTTTCAGTTTGATGTAATCCCAGTTGTTTACATTCTCTTTTCTTTCCCTTACTGTTAGAAATGAATTCATAAAGCTATGTTGGGAACTATTTTGCCAGTGTTTCTTCTATATATTTTATGGTTTTAGGTCTTACAGTCTTTTATCCATTTTGAACTGATTTTTTTGTGGATGGTGTGAAATAGTGGTCTAACTTCATACTTTTTTTTACAACATTTATTGATGAACCTTCTCTTGTCAAATAGCTAAAGTTTTTGGTTTTTTTTTTTAAGATTTATCTATTTATTCATACAGAACTGGGGTACAGGCCAGACACACAGGGGCAGTGAGAGGATTCACCAGAGACAGGGTAGGGAGCAGAACACGCAGACTGATAAAGTATACTGCTGAGGGGAGCAGTGGCAAGTCAGGAGAGGTCTGCCGTGACATGTGAATCGCCTCCTGGAATGGGATCAAACTCACACTGAAGGGGTTGCTGCTGGCTTGCAGTGCTGCGCTTTAAACCTCTGCGCCACCAAGAAGGGCCCAAATAGCTCAAGTTTTAATACTCCAAAATAACTCATTACATGATGTTTTGTAGATTTATAATAGTTCATTTAAACATCTATATTGGAAGTATTATTTAAAAAACTATTAATTTTGGGAGGAAGAAGAATGACCTATTTATTTTTTCACTTGTTTAAAACATGCTTTTCTAAACATTCCAGTGTAAACATTATAATGTTCAAACTTTTATGCAATCTAAACCAATCTACATATTTTCTCTGGCTCAGACAACCTGTCTTAGTGCAAGCAATAAATCTTATTTGGTAATTTGGAAAAAATGAAAAAATATACAGTGCCAATAGTATTTCTATAACAATTATTAGTCAATTAGCTAAATATAATCAAAAGCTTATTTGTAATACTGGGCTATGACCTGAAGATGGCAGTAGTTCCACATTAGCAATATTTTTCATTTGATTTCTTTTGTAATCTTAGGATCTTTGAGTTTTTCTTAATAAAAAATGCTACATCATATTATTCTCATCATTTTTGTGCTTGTCACAAGAGGAGAAACCTATTTAGAAATTTTGCTGTGCTTTATTTTTTCTATGTGTTTATTTTTTGATGCTGGGGAGGGAAGATATAATGACACTAAGTCATTCAGTAGGAATTTTCTTACAAAGGTTGTATCTGAATAAAATATGAGCA